CTACAGTATCCCTTCTTGTAATATACAGTACAATCACAAATCTCTTGTGATTTGCAGGAGACGTTATCTTGATGGAGGGTTTAAGTCAAAGCAGCCACTGTAGCTTCCACACATTTGCAGACATAGCATTTTAAAAACAGGGTGACTGTATTTAAATGTCAGCACTGTTTCTCCAGAGAACATTTGGTGAGAAAAGGTTACAGAGGAGAAATCACAGATGATAGGAAAACGCTGTGGCCTGCCTGAAGTAATTACACTGCCATTTTCTCCTCCACGGAGTTGAAAAAAATGCAAAATTGTGCTCAAACTGTTTGATCATCTTCATCCGTAAACTGCAGAAGGCTGTTGTATCCTCATTGGACCCATTTAGAAGCTGTTGTTATAACCTTTGCAATAAAAAAAGGGGATTCAAACTTGGCATAGTTCTTTCTGCAAGCTGAGACTGGCCATGTGTATTTAGATGTTTTATTAGATGATTCAAATTCATTCATTTGTTTGTTCATTCATCCAATACGGGCTGTTAAGAGGCACAGCAGTGTCAGCAGATTATCTGACTGTGTTTAGATTGTCTCGCATATTTGCCTCTGTCCTGGTTATTTAAAGGAAAGTAATGTTGGAAGGCAAATTTTATTTTCCTTTGGACAAAGCCAGGCTAGCTGTTTCCCATTGTTTCCAGTCTTTATGCTAAGCTAGCTGGCTGCTGACGGTAGCATTGTATTTATTTTATTGACATGAGAGTGGTGTCACTCTTCTTCTCTAGATCTTGGCAAGAAATCCAAATTTGTTAATTGCATGTAAGAGGAAGAAATCTAATAATAATTGAATAACTTTTTTAAATAATTTATTAAGACTAACTGTTAAAACTGCGCTGTTGCCTCACAGCAAGATGGTTCTGGGTTCAAGCCCCGGCCGACCGGGGCCTTTCTTTGCGGAGTTTGCATATTCTCCTCGTGCTTGCGTGGGTTCTCTCCGGGTACTCCGGCTTCCTTCCACAGTCCAAAGACATGCGGCATAGGTTGATTGTGTCTCTAAATTGCCAGTAGGAGTGATTGTGTGTGTGAGTGGTTGTTGTCTGCATGTTGGCCCTGCGATGGACTGGCGACCTGTCCAGGGTGGACCCTGCCTCTTGCCCGCAGCCGGCTGGGATTGGCTCCAGCCCCCCGTGACCCCGTTTGGGACTAAGCCGTATAAAAAATGGATGGATGTTAAAACTGTTGCTGTTTTGGCCACTGAAATATGATGCTGTTTGTATATTATATGTTATTTTAATTGACATTAAATTGAATTTTGGACTTTAAAATTATGATGTTTTTAATATAATTTTATAATCAACCAAATTATCAACTAAAAAAGTGACACATTTATCAATAGTGAAGATAATGTTTAGGGAGGCGACAGTGGTGCGATGGGTAGAGCAGTCGTCTCCCAACCAGAAGGTTGAAGGTTTGAATCTCGGTGCCTGCAGTTCATGTGTTGAAGTGTCCTCGGGCAAGACATTGAACACCCCCCTCCCCGTTGCACCTGATGGTTAGAGCCATCGGTTGAGTTGGCACTGCAGATGGCTGCCTTTGGTTCTGTACCGGAAACAAATTCCTTGTGTATAACAAACTTGGCGAATAAAGGTGATTATCTAGTTGCAGCCCTAACTAATCTTGAGTTACCAAATTTATCATGTTTTCTCATGTTCACAAGATGTAAAAAATGCTTTCATTATTTAGTAAAGGTAAGTATCATAACTGCTGTTGTCATGTTGCTTGTGTTTTTACCCAGGATGTAAAAGTCAGATCTCTCTCTCTAGCATTGCTTGTTCCACTATCATTTGCTATCAGGCTATCAGCAGAAAGCCAAGAGTTGTGATCAAAGCTGCTGCCTTGTTATCTATCAGTTACATGATAATGAAGTCATGCTGTCAAGATAACAGGAATGAAAAAACAAAAATGTTCACATAGAGGCAGAATATTTGTTTGTCAAAACAGAACTTTATAGACAGCCTGCCAACTGTCTGTTTCATTTTCAGTGGCCTTTTAAAGTCAGCAAAAACAATTCAGATAAAGATCTTGATGTTCAAGTGTGACATCATCTGACTTATCTAAAACCCTTTATTTTCTCACGGTGATCACAAGAAACATAATGATGTTTTGACATGTTTTCACGTTCTGTTTCACAGTTCTTACTTTTTTCCACAAAATGCCCTTGTTTTCCTGCAGCCAGTCGGTGGGCAGCACCTGGCAAACTGTAACAGACCACGTGAAGCAGGAAAGGCACACAGTTGTGGGACTCTTCCCCAACACTGTTTATCTCTTTATTGTCAGAGCAGTCAACTCCTATGGCCTCAGTGACCCCAGCCCAATATCTGAGCCTGTCCGCACCCAGGGTGAGTTACATAGGCAAAAAATCATCCTTATCTCTCTGCACTCCTTGTTTATATGTGTCTTGTTACACAGTCTTGATTTCAGCCTCTATTTTTAACAAAAGAAATTAGATATACTGGGCGTAGGGCTGAGGAGAAGATAATGTGCTACATGGTTTATAAAAACCTGCTTCCAAGTGTAATCTCCAAACTAATTGCTCTCTCACTGTGTGATGCTAAGTAGTACTGAATATTGTCAAAAAGCTTTTTTCCCTTTTTTGCCGTAGCTGCTATTCAGTTGTGTTTTTTGCCTGTGCTGAAAGGATTTCTTTGTTGTTTCAGATGGGAGTCCTACAGAGCAGGGCGTGGACCACAGACAGGTGCAGAGAGAGTTAGGAGAGGTATCCATCTACCTGCAGAAGCCTGTGGTTCTCTCTCCTACCAGTGCCAGGATTTCTTGGACTGTGAGTCGAATACTTGAAAAAGTCTACTTTTCAAAGTCGACTCCCAGTGTGCAGAGGACATGCTAATTTCTAAACATTAACTTCAAAAACTCATCCACATATTATGTGACACAACCAGTACAAATGCAGTACAAACACAACTGGATTTGCCCTTTGATAACTGATGTAAATGTGAAAATGTTTCTATATTTCTTGTGTCTTGACAACTGTTTTAGGTTGCCCGTCAGTCTCAGTATGTTCAGGGTTACCGTATATTTTATCGGACGATTGGCAGCTCCTGGTTGGTCCAGGATGTCGAGGACACATCTGACCACAGTATCATCCTAGTAGATCTGCGCAGCAGTACAGAGTATGAGGTCAAGATACGCCCTTACTTCAATGAGTTACAGGGACACGACAGTCTGATGGTACTGCTGCGTACACCCGAGGAAGGTAAGAAATGCTTCGCAATAACTTTGTCAGTATTTCACAATTGTACTCAATTCTAAATCAATCCTGAAATTGATCAATTCACAATTTGCATATTTAAATATGTGATTTAAAAATAGTGTAACCACACCAAAACATAAATTGATTTGCATGGGCTAAAATGACATTTACTGATGAGTTAGGTTAGCGTTTAGTATATGGTAGCATCATTTAAATTCTCCATGCCTGGATTTAGCTACTATATATGTGGGGCGGCTGTGGCTCAGGAGGTAGTCTAGGCATATAGGAATTCTTGTGCAGGACTCTCCTGGAGTCAACTAAATAGTTAGCCAAAAAAAGAACACCTAGTCTAAATATAAATTTACATAAGAATGAAATTGTAGATACAAAATTAAAATAACAAATAAAATTATGAATTTGAAATATTGCACATGGTGGAATTGTATATGGTATTTTACTTAGTAGGGTAATGAGGGGTTATTGCACATGTTTTCCACATTTTGTATTTGCCATCAGTCTTACTGCAGCAGGGAAAAAGCTGTAAAATCTTGTTCTGTGTGTGATGATACTGTCCGCTCTGGGCACTGTTAACCTGGACAGAGCCAGGTTAACAGTGCCCCCCAGTTTTCAGTTTTGTGCTAACGTAAGCTATTAGGTTGCTTATTTTAGTTTCATATTAATGGACAGATATATAAGTGTTACAGATCTTAGTCAGTGAACAGCAAATCTGCAGACAACGAAACAATATATGAGAAGAAAAGCCATGGCTTTTGAGTTTCCAATAACACATGCGTTATGAATCAATATTTATTTTTGCTCTTCTTTCATTCAGTTCATTACAGATTCCCTAAAACTAGCAGAGCCTACCAAATTGCATCATTCTGCTCAGGAAACATCTTGAAAATTATTCAGAAATGGCAGGCCTGTAAAACAAAGCAATATCATAACAATGATATCTAATAGTAATATTAATAATGCTAATATTATTTTTCTTCTTATCTCTGTCTCCAGTTCTAAGTGCTCCTCCACAGGCTGTGTCAGTGGTGCAGCTCACTAACAGCTCCAGTATCAGCGTGTCCTGGGAGCCTCCGCCTCATAATATTCAGAGTGGCATTATTCGAGAGTACAGGGTGAGTCCACAGCAATCAGTCTGTGACTTGACTCCAGAAACCTGACTGTTTGTTTTCTTTTCTGATGCTTCTGCTTTTAAGATTGTTCATCAGCAACACAGCTGTAAATTACACAAATACAATGGAACAAAGTGTTTGTTTAAACCACTATATCTGTAATTTTACACAGTCATTACTCAGTGTTGTTGTCTGGATGCTTATGAAAACTACAGATGTTATTTAACAGTAATTCCTGATTGCCCTTTGTCTGTGGTTAGTACACATGCACTGCTGAAAGAGCCTCCGTTTTCAAAGGTTCAAGGTTCAAATTGTTTATTGTCATATGCACAGTAAGGAAACGTGTTTCCCTGTACAATGAAATTCTTACTTTGCTGTCCACACAGAATGCCAAACAACACAAGTGAAATATAAAGTAAATAAATAGCACAAAAACTAAAGGCGCTTAAAACAGTGAGTGAAAAGAAATATAATTAAAAATATAATAAGAACATAATAAGAGATTTTGTATGCTACATCGGAGCTATATGTGCAATGGTCAGCAGTGGGTGTGTAATTATGCATGTGCATGTAAACAGTACAGGTGGAATTACATGAAGTAATTCCTGATCAAAGTCTGTCTTTCATCATTAAATCCTGAGGGCCCCTGTCATCTGTTTGTTCTGTAAAAAAAAAAAAAGATTCTGTCTGTTTCTTAGTATAAGCACACCACTGATGACTAATGATCGGGCAGCTGTTCCCATGGAGGGAGAAAAAAAATCCAAAAACACTGAAATTGAAAATGCAGTTCTGTTGTGTTTTCTGTTTCTCGTCTGGGTCCAAGTGTTGAAAGTAATTAGAAAACAGCACTGCTCTGATCATGAAAATCCTGATTCTGGCAGCTCGTCAGCTGAAGGCTAGGTTTACTCTTAATCCCCTTAAACATTCAATTTGCTGAGAACTTCAGGCAGTATTTTGTACAAGCCTTCAAGTACTTCAATGTGCAAAATTAAATGTTCAATCAGTGTTGAAGAATTATAAGATACATCTTCATTACAGCTCACTGTATCACTGTCATTATGCAGATTATATCTGTTGAAGTCCTGATGTTTTTATTTGAGTATTTGCATTTTATGTGTCTCATCTTCTCAGCAACATTCTAAGGGAAATATTGTACTTTTTTACTCCACTCAGCCAAGATTTTAGATTTAAAAATGATTTGATGAATTTAATTACCCATCAGAATATAGAGCAGTTCAAATTTGTTCCACCTCGACCAGCTGCACATTAAAATGCTCCTATCATTCTGTATGAGTACCTTTATTTTTAAGCTCTTAAATATATTTTTGCAGTTTGTTTTGTATATTTAAAGCACTACTACAGACATTGCAGGTCTCACAGATGAAAAGCTGAACTCAGAAAAAGACTTTGACTTGGTTCATTATGATGTGCTATACTGCTGTATAATAACATTACTTAGCCATTTTGCTGTTTTTTACTTGTGCAACCTTACTTTTGCAAATATAATACAGCACTAAACAACAATTCATTTTGTTTTAGCATTTTGAAAAGAGCATTTTAGCATTGTGGCGTTGCTACAGTACTTATACTTTGGAATATATAGTGATAAATGGAAGGAAAATACAGAATAAGTGAGTGGTCTTTCAGGATGACATTGCCCCCATCCACAGGACATGAGAGGTCACTGAATGGTTTGATGAGTATGAAAATGATGTGGATTACAGTCACTGGGTCTCAACCCATTTGAACACTTATGGGAGATTCTGGAGTGACAAATTAGCGCGCTGGTGGCCCAACACCTTACAAAGACACTTAATTTGTCACCCTTCTTTCACTGCAGCACACAACACAAATCCAGCATGCATGAAGAATAAAGGGCTGGAAGACTTTCAAGACATAAACTGAATGCCTGAAGGCACATTCTGTATACAGTATATTTAATAACAGAATTTTCAGTCTGGTTTTTAAATGTCATTACACAGACATCCCTTTCTCTTTCATCTCTGTTCTCCACTGCGCACTACCAGATAAAGCTTCAGCGCCAACAAAAGAAGCACCGGGTTTATATCACAGTCTGTCTTATTTGAATGATAGGCTGCATATTATCTCAGGGTATGCGGGAAAAATTAATGTCTTTATATCTATTCATATTTTAAAATTCAAACAATAACTGTGTATATCTGGTTGCTCATCAGGTCTGGTGTCTGGGCAGCGGCGTGGAGCAGGAGAACCAGATAAACCGAACCGTGGATGGAGCGGTTCTGTCCATCCTCCTGACAGGCCTGCTGCCTGACATTCACTACTCCGTCACGGTGGCTGCTGTCACAAGCCTGGGTGTGGGCGCCGAGAGCCCGTCTGTCAGCCTGCTTCTCAGTGAGTCACTCAACATGTTACAGCTACCGCAGACAGAGAAATATGGCAATTTGGGCTCTCAGTGGGCTCAGTTTACCGCAGGTGAGATCTGTATGTGGAAATCAACAGAGACTTGTGCTTTGAGTGTGAAAACATAAATTGTGTTAGTCAGGAATTCACAGTGAAGCTGAGAAGTTTAACACTCCTATAGATTAGCATTCTTTTAGTTCTGATAGGCAACATTTGATGACTGAGGATGAGCAGGATCTCCATTCCTCTGGTTCAAAGTAAAAAAAGTAAACCGGTCTTGCATTGACATAGTCAGTTATCCCAGACAGGTTGAAGCCCAGAGGAGGTGTGGGGCCGCTTATGTTTTCTGAGCTATTTTCCTCTTCACTTTAATGTCTACTCTATTTTTTTCAAGGAATAATTTCACATTTTGAGAAACAAACTTGCTTGTTCTTTTGCTGAGAGTTAGCTGGGAAGATTGATACCACTCTCACGTCTGCACAGAGCTACAGCTAGCAACTGCTAAACTTAGTTTAGTATAAAAACTGCTGTAGCAAAACATGGTGTAAAATATCAACCTGCAATTTTTCCAACTATTTATGTGACATTGTGCCAAGTAACACTTGAAAAAAGGATTCCCAGAATAAATGGTAATAATCCGCACATCCTCCTCCATAGGCATGTATCTACAGCTGGTAAAAGCTAAACTTAGCATTGTTTTCTTACATATATTTAGCAAAATACTCTGCAGCCAGAAGGCTACATACAGCAGGCTCAATACTGCACCGCCGGTATTCCCATAATGTCTTGTGAAGCAGTTTGTGCATAGAGAATGAAATAGGCAAAACTCTGTTTACTCTTTCTAGCGTTGTGCTGTTTAGTTATCTTTAGACTGGCAAGCTGTTTCATCCTGTTTCCAGACTTTATGTATGCTAAGCTAAGTTAAGTGCCTGCTGGCTCTAGCTAAATATTTACTGCATACATGAGTAATATTGATCTTTTCATCTGACCCTTGACAAGAAAGTGCACTTAACAAAATGTCACACTATTCCATTAAGCTGTCTCTGGGTTCTTTTTCATACTAAGATCCTGAAAGCCCTGTGCTCTTAAACTTGACTGTTTTTCTTTCAGCTCTGCCAGTGAACAAGACTTCGCCATCTGTGAAGAAAGGCGGTAGACTCGACATATCAGAGCAGATCACAAGTGTCGTCCGCCAGCCAGCCTTCATTGCAGGACTGGGTGTGGCTGCATGGTTGGTGCTGATGTGCTTTAGTGGTTGGTTGTACTGTCGGCACCGCAGGAGGAAGCAGTTGGGACACTATACTACTTCCTTTGCATACACACCAGCAGGTAAGTGGAAAAAGAAGACAGGATGTTCAAGGTATTACCTCTAACATTTACACTTTTAATGTCAGGTAAACTGCTCCATGAAGAAAGAAGTGTAAAAAGTAAAAAAAATGTTACAATGACTTGAGCCAGGATGATTTTTATCTTTCAGATGCACTCTGTCACATCTTACTCATTATAATTACATTGTTCACAAAACAAAACGGTACAGAGAAAAAAATCTTAATTTGTTGAAGAAAAAACCAGAAAGATTTAGTTTTCAAAAAGTAACTGTGACAAAGTTCTTAACAGACCTCTGGGGTATCTCCAGCAGTGATTAATGTTTTCAATTTTTGTTCCTTTTGCAAAGCGGCAGCTGCACTTTCATTGCATATTCAGTTAATTAAAATGAATTTATCCCTACTGGGCAGTTTTTATGGCAGGACTACAGGAAAAGGCTGAGGACATGCTGACTGAATCATATGTAAATAGTAACAGTTACAATTTATTTTAGAATATGGTCTTTGGCACATACTGTAAGCACTTAAACACATCATTTGTGTTCTGACTTTGAGAGATATTGGTCCATGTTCATAAATAGTCAATGGACATACCAAGGCCCTAAGAAAAACATATACCATTAGATTTTATTACTACTGACCAGAAGTTACATTATTCTAAAAATTTAGTATGAAATCTGTCATCATCTTTTTGCTTTAGATGTTATGAACTTCAGATACTATGGAAGAGCAACACATTATAGAAAACAACAAAAACAAACAAAAAACTTATTTTGTACTATCAACAAATTTAAAACTAATAAAAAAAAAGATCTCATAACTGGGAGAGCTGGATGTTAAAAATCTTAATTTGTTTGACCAGAGGTAAACTTTAACAAGAAACAGGAAATATAATCTTCTTCTGCTTCTTCTTTTGGCTGTTCCTGTTAGGGGTCGCCACAGCGAATCATCTGTTTCCACCTAACTCTATCCTCGGCATCCTCTACTCTCACCCCAATTAACTTCATGTCTTCTTTTAGCACATCCATATATCTCCTCTTTGGCCTTCCTCTTGACCTCTTGCCTGGCAGCTCCATCTCCAACATCCTTCTACCAATATAACCACTATCCCTCCTCTGCACATTTACAAACCATCTCAATCTGGCCTCTCTGACCTTGTCCCCAAAACAGCTGACCTGAGCTGTCCCTCTGATGGGCTCATTCCTAATCCTGTCCATCCTAGTC